TACTTGGTTATGAAGTTTTAACGACTTATCAAAATGCGAGCATGGTCTCTAAAATCTCATTAACCCTTGGTGGTCCAGTGCAGTAGAATTAATAAATTAAACGAGACTTACCTGGAAGTTGAAGTTCAATTATTATTCTACTGCTACTGGACCACAGGGTTTAATGCCCACCCAATTACCCCTCCCATATGTATAAGCCATTGTCGCATTTTGCATAATTATGTATGCTCTGAAAGTCTGCTTGGTCATCTGATAAGATCATATGTTCATCTCATTAAACCCTGTGGTCCAGTAGCAGTAGAATAATAATTGAACTTCAACTTCCAGGTAAGTCTCGTTTAATTTATTAATTTGTTTACATGTTTAGTTTCTTAGCGTAGGTAAGACCGAAATATCGCGTCCGTATAGGAGGCAAATAGAACCGAAAATGATACAATTACATAAGTTTGATGTAAACGAAATGGCACATTGCATACATTTTGATTATTTAATGACAGGACATTCTTTGAAAATGTGCAGGAACAAGATGTAAATACTGTCAGTCTGTAATTAAAATGATTGATAAAGTTCGTCGAAAATTTTTTGATTACATGACCACTTCTGTCATATTTATGTAAATGGAAAACCGGCGAGATGTACCGATTGTTAAGATCACAGAAAATATATCGTTAACATGTATAGTCAACATCAATAATTTCGCGTCATCACTTATTTCTCTGCAATGCCATATTTCCATGTGACTTGTTGTTTCATACAGCAGAGAATACTAAACTATTATAGCTTTTGACAATTTTTGGTACCGTAAGTTCATTGTTTCTTATCCTTCTTGTTTCAAAGAGTGAAGTGTGTGTCGCCTTGGTCATTTTCATTCGTTTTTTTTTTCATAACATAAAAAATGAAGAAATTATTCTACATGCATATACATTGTATTAATTTCTTTCTTAACATGTATATTATAAGATTTTTAACATATTATATGGCCCTATGTATAGGGTCAACACACCATGACGTTCTCGTCATCGCTCTCTGAACGTTTCAATCGTTCAATTTTTGAACGTTCTTGAATGGGGTTGACACATCTAGCGTGTGATTAATATGCGTCTAACGCATAACTAGCGTGTGTCTAACGCGCATAACTAGCGTGTGTCTAACGCACGAGAAGCGTGTAACAGCGACCAAGTAAGATACGTCTGAAACCCATAAGCGTGTGCTAACGTACCACTGGCGCGGGGCGAATTATTTGTCAACGCCTGACGAGCGTTGTGATCGTGTGACTAACGCCTGAATAACGACAGCATAGCGTCTTGATGGCGTGTTGTTTTTACGGATATACGGGTACAGAACGCTGGAAACTTCATATTCATTTCAGTTTCTCTAGTGAGTTCGAATAGTCAGCATTATGACGCTGGACAGTTTTACAAGAATTTTGAACTAGAAAAAGTGAAGGCATTTTACAATAAGAAACAACGGATGGACAGGTGTTCAGCTTATACATGATGCCTCTTCTCACTAAAGCCAGATTAAATTATGATTTTTTATGGCAGTCACCAATTGGACAATAAATCAGTGCCGGTATATTTGTCAGTAATAGAAATAATAAAATTTGTTTTCAAATACAAGATTTAATTTCGCAAATCAATATTAATATAGTTACGCTACAAAGTATTTAAGCTGAAACAGTATTTAATCAATAGGTCAAGGTCGGGCGAGGTAAAAAAGAAAAAGAATTAAAGTAAAATAAAAGTATGTCAGTTTATTTCAAGCTTGCACAAACCAGTTTGAGATTTATATATTCTACAGGTTTCTGATAAGGGTGTTATGAAGTTGGTTCTGGGGAGTGGGGATCATTTTGCTTCAGAGGGAATCCGTTGTATAAAATAAAGGCATCCCTTTGTCTTTAGAATAAAGATTGGGGTCTATGACATTCCTTTCAGTTCGTTCGGTTGAATATGCCGAAACAGTTCTACTACTCTGGATACTTCTTATTTACAACATAAGACGTTGTGTTTTCATATTTAATCTACTATAATACTCAGTAATCATATATAGAAGAAACAGTATCGAAATGACAAATGTTAAGTGCCTAAAGCCTTGAATATTAAACCAGTACAAAATGGACATTAGCTAAATTATTAAAAAGATTCATATTGGTGGGTAAATATAAAACTACAATAATCAATGTGCTGTTACACTGGTTTATTTCTGATTGAGAGAGTTCCCGAGGACAGATTGTTTTAAAACTTTATGAATAAGTGTAACGGATCCTAATGTACTTTTCTTGTGATCAGTTTCTTTTACTATTTTTATTCTTTTCTAGAAAATACAACTACTGTATAAGACATTCATAATAAACGCTTGCCCCCAAAACAGTCTCACTTTTTCACAAAATCAAGCATGGCACATTATTTCCAACAACTTATGCCAGTGCCCTTTGTGGCGCCATTATATGTCGCAACACTGATTACCGTTAAATGTCACAACTGTAACGTTAAAATTAATGTCGAACGATTTACTCTTACCGTTAATTGTCGCAACACTATCGTTAAATGTCGCAAGAAATGTCTTTTTTTATTGAAATTTAACTGAAAAAGCGATTGATAAAAGTATAGTATGCAAATGTTCATATAATAATCATCTGTAAAGTATTTTGCTTTGTGTACTTTTGTACTTCTACTTGCCCTCATCGCCGTTGGTTCGAATCCCGCAAGAGACTTAGTATTCTTTTATATGAGGAAGATAGTACAGCTAGTTTATGGAACATCGCTGGTTTTATTAGGGTTCCCATTCGTACCTGAAATAATGCACGGAGAGGCACCTGATGTCCTTCTTCACCAGTAAGGCTGAAAAGTCACCATGTTATCTGACTCTGATGGCGCGCCGTAAAGTCCAATTCTATTTGTATCATACTGCTTATTTTGTATATATTGCTGTAAGTACTAACGTTCTACAATCTGAATATCAACTTGATTATTTTTGGTTACACAAATTTATTTTAGTTCATTTGTGTTGGAAGCTCTAAGCGCATTAAAGTATTAGAACTGGAACTTACCAGTACTTAGCAACGAGTTTAAAGTTTTTTTTGCTAACGGTAAAAACGTCTTGCACCTGACTCGGTTTGAACCCACGCAGCCTTCTTTAGATTACTAGTCTGACGCGTTAATCACTCGGCCGTACCGCCTCTAGTTTGATTACTTTTTTACAGAAGTCTCGTTAATAATCTTATTACGCTAAATCAAAATGTTCGATGAGTTCAAGACCGAATAAAACAGTTAATAATTATAATTCGGTCATCTATTTTTATTTTTATTTATCCCCTACTCCCCGATCCATTTTTTTTTAAAAAATGTCCCGTAAAACATTTAATAAAAAAATGTTAGCCTTATAGATGTTTGTGATAAATGGATTTCAATTTTTAAGATTTACTAAGTAACATCTGGCATAGATAAGAGTAACCTAGCATTTTACCTTCCACGCGAGATACTCAAGCGATACAAAAGTCTAGATATACCTTTACTTACCACGCAACAAATTCAGGCAATACATTGAGCTTTCTTTTATCTAAAACACATTTCGCTTTAAGACTACAAATCGGCAAAGTCTTGGCATCAAATAATCAGAAGATTCTCTATCTACTTTAGAACTGTTTAAAACAATGTTGTTGTTTTTTACATTGAACTGCTACCGGAATCCATGCTAAAACCACCGAAAATGCGATTGAATTTGATCGTGTTGACTGGTTTATTAACGCGCAACAATTTCCTATTACATCGCTTGTTGCCATTTAAAAATGTGAACCAAAGTTACTAGAATCAAATAATATTATTTTTAACATGTATCATCTTGTATTATCATCGCAGAGACATAGACATCACAGCAAATCTTTTTCTCTCTGAGAGATAGCTGGTCCCTAGTTCACTTGCATAACTTTAAAATTGACATAATACCAGTTTTTGTACACGAATTTGATATTGCGACATTTAAGGGTGGTGTGTGACATTTAGCGGTAAGTGCGACATTTAGCGGCGTTGCGACATATAACGGCGCCACACCCTTAAAACACAACTTCAAAAGCAAATTTCAAATTGCAAAAAAAAAAATTAAATAAATAAATAAATAAAAAAATAAAAAAATAAATCTCAAATAGATTTTTTGTTACAACAGTTTAATCATGAGCTAACATAACATGAAATAAAATAAGATAAAAAAACTCCTTCATATAAAATATTAAACAGTGCCAGGGTGTCAAACCCGATGTAAGCATTTTACCTCTGCATCACAGCCTCACCTGCTATTATGCTAGTGAAAAATAAACAACAAAACAATTTGGTTATTTAAAAAGAACCTAAGAAAAACCTAACAAAAATGCATATAACAATTTCAGACTATAATAAAAAAAAATCACTGATGCATAGCCTCTTTGAAAATGACTTTATATAAACTTGTTCATTTGTTAAACAAATCAATTGTTCTGTTCTGCACATGCCAACTGGAAGGCAAAAATATGAATACACGGAAGTTCAAAGACGAAAAACACGAGTGTACGATGATTTAGAGGTGAAAACATCATGGCGAAATTGATAATTGTGTTTTAAAATAAAAGTATATATAAAACACTTCTTATGAAGTATTAAAAGAAACTCTAAATACGCATTCCGAACAAGCGCTTTATCAATTTGTTATTCTAACACGACCTGTATTTTTCCCTATTGAACATAGAAGAACCGAAAGTGTGTGTTATTATGCAATAGAGTCACTGTTTGACGCTCTATATTTAGACATGTGACGTAATCATTATACATGTGACGTAACCACTATAAAATCCGACGCGCTGACAATAAGTACGGAAACAAATTAGGCGCAATTTTGCTTAATAGCAGGTACGGCAGCATTTTTTTGTTTATGTCGTGTTAGAATCGAAATAATATATCCAAATCGGTGATTTTTTCGCTGGATAACATCACTGTTTGTCGTTCGGATGCGCATAAGGTTAACAATATCGCCTGAGGCAGGTCGTCACAAAGAACACCTAGCACTGTTTCTATCCAACCATGAAGCAACTGAAACCCCCTGCAAGCAGGCTCTTTTTCACTCTTATCTCGCAGTTGGTATTCTAAGAGTGTTTCACCGATCATGTTAACTATTTTCAAGCACGCGTAGGCGGTTCCTATGCCAACAAAGGCCCCATAGATTGATGTAAGGTCAACGGACCCTTCACTGCATTGAGACTTCCACGGCGATTTCCCTTTCAGACTATTTACTGTTTCAAGCACAATCAACCAGGCTGGCAATTCAAAATTTCCAACCCACGAGGCGAATTGCAACCAATTTAAGCAAACATCTAGAAGAATGAAAAGTGCGGAGACTATACGCTTGAAAATTATACCTGCTAAAGATGGTATGATTGTCGGCCCATCATCGTCTGCAAAGAAGAGCAATATATTGACAAACTCGATTATAGGAGTTTTAATTCGTAAGCTTATATCACACTTAAATTGCGGTATATCTAAATTTCATGTTGATTGAATGGGAAAATGACATGGTGAGTTAATTATTTGATTATTTAGTTAATATGTTAATTATTTGATTATTTAGTTAATATGTAAATTATTTCATTGTTTAGTTAATATAAATATATCTTTACTTTATGAAACTGATATTAAACATTTATTGGGGAGAAACCATGGTAATATTGCAAACACTTTTTGCCCCACCCTTTTGTATATAGTGATATTATGTTGATGTAAAATAATTGATTTATATTCATATATGCAATAAAATATTATTAAATAAGAAGATTATTTGGTTAAAAGTACCTTCATCGGTAGGCATAGGGCTAAATGAATCTCGTACCATGTACTGGTTACCAGGGACATGATAATGTACTGTATTGGAGCCATAACCTTGTTGAACCGGCTGCATCACATACTGTACAATTCCTTGAGGTGCTGGATCCAAAGCTTGCATCTGTATCGGCGTTTGGCTTCCAGCATGTTGACCCACTGCATAAAACCCGCTAGGCACCTGGCCTTGGTTTGATGACCGGGATGTAATATGCTGGTCAGCAGGCTCCCCATAGTAACCTTTAAAACAAAAGAAATGAGAAGAAAAGATAAAAACGCTACTTTTTCATCACTGCAGCTTGCATCTTGTCATTTACCTTTAACGTAAATAGACATAAATAGACACGACCAGGCAATTCATTTTGAAATATCATTGGGAGTTTATTTGTTTATCAAACAACCATTTATTATATCGATATAAAAAGTTTGCTCGTCGTGTGTTTTTATTACTAGAATTTATGACTCTCACGAATCCCAACAAAGATTCAAAGAGCGTGCTTCAAAAATAGGAGAACGCCTTTGAGTTATGCATAGAGTTTATTTGATTAATTTAAAATTGAAAATACTTGATCGGTTATTTCAATATACAAACATGCACATTCTTAGTTTCTGCCCGCCACCAACAGAGTTAACAAATTATAGAAATGTCGAAAAAATATACGAGTTTGACATCTTGTCACTTTTCAGTTTTTATGCAAAAAATATGAATGAATAAAAAAGATAAATAAAAATGATGCACTAGATAAAATTTTATCAGCACGTTTTATTTCCGTAATTTACTTTATGTATATTATTTTGATACTCTTTAGGCTATAACTATGACGATGAGGCTCGGTAATCCCGCCTGACGCTACGTTAAATTACTTTTTGTACGCATACCATACCATTGTCCTTGTAGTAAAAAATAAAATAATCAGACAGTGCCCTGTCCATAAGATAACGTGTTTTTTGCTGGTCACAATATTGAAGAAAAATACAGTGGAAAGAAAATCCGAGTCATAATAGATAAAGCCTGTCACATTAGTCGTTGTCTTGCACATTGAGTAATCGACGAAATGTAACGAGGGGGAAGTAGAACCTTTCTTTCAAGCCTTAAATGGACTCCACTGAGGTTATTTGACATGACAGGACTGAAATTATATTTCAAGAATAATGTTCCATTAGATATAGGTCTAGCACAATTACCTGTATGCAAAATTTCAGATCATTTGCTCACTCTGTTTTTCCACAAAGATTATTCTAAATGTGGAAAATGACCCAACATTTAAAAGCGTTGGAAAAAATAATTTTTTAATTAATTTCTAGGTATATTTCTTAATTATCTTTTGCCCCAGCTGATCTATGTAAGATTTTAAAATTTTATGTTTTAGGCTTTTGGTCCTCAGTGGAGTTCCTTTAAAGGGGCTCCTTTAACGTTTTCATGATGTTACTAAAAAAAATGAAACGCTAAGAATTATCACACTGGCCATAGCTTTCGCAGAAGCGGTGGGTCTATCGCAGCGGCGGTGGAGTATTCGTCGCAGAAGCGGTGGATAAAATGTGGCCGTTTGTTGTTTTCGGTAAGTATATGACTGAATTTTGTTTTATGTTTTAATGTTTTACTGGAAACACTCAGTGAGCCTGGAGCCCACATATGTACTCTTTCAACCTATTACACGGACACGGTGCAATTCATTGCCGTTAATGCAAACACTTCTGTACAGTTTGATGAGTGGACGCCACTTTTGCCTAATTTTGGTTAAAACACATACAAATGTGTTCAAAACGACCCCATAATACATCGGCATCACATCAAATCAATGATACTTTCACAAATTAACCATTATTTGGAAAATTGGGAAATTATTATTGGCTGTTTATAAAATAAATTACAAAAAATGTTTTCGTCGCAGACGGCGGTGGATTCGATTGCAACGCAGTGTGGTGGGCCCGATACCATTTTTGTATTTTTTAAGAATTTAACTTGACGTAAGGCACTTTTCAATTGAGTACAGCCCTTTTCTTACTTTGACATACTGAGAAACGTGTTTATTTGATGTTTAAAACGATATTAATTATTATATATACTCTCGTACAAATTAACTGTCCGAGGTCCGCTTTCATTTTCCTTCCATTGAAAATTACTTTAGCCATAATTATCATAGAATAATCAACGTTCAACAATTTATTGCGGGTTATTACTAAGCATCAAGTATTTTTGTGTGTAAATGCACCATTCCAGTTGAAAAGCGCAGGAAAGTAAGAACATATATAGTGCCCTTTATCATATTTGTATTTCCAAGTTTATATATATTAGGTTTCATGCATTTGACAACCCGGACCGTAGAGGAAACGGCGGAAACTAATAATATTTGACCTTGATGCACCGTGCACCGAAATGAAATTTAGCGATGTGCAGGGAATTCCACAAATGTAATGAATCCAGCCAAAATATCAGATGTGTCAGACATTTACATTTTACACGTGATCACGTGTAATACCTTATAACCAATGCCGATTTCTGACTTATTAAAAGCGGCATAGCAGGTGTATATATATGCATATTTTTTTGCATTACGGCATATGAGTTATAAAAACATAAAGTTAACACATATTCATGGCATTTTCGAGAGTATCATATTAGTTATAAAGATTTTGAAAGGCTATACAATATGGCCGTATATAAACGGTTGTTTGAAAATATAAAACATAAACATACAATTTCTTATTAAATAAACAGCAGTCGTGTATATAAATATATAAACTTTATAATACTGCATGTTTGTAACGTAATTTTTCATTGGAAAATCGAGACGTTTATTTAATTATAGAGCTTTTTGGTTTATTTGTAACTTTATTTTCTGATTTTTACACATATGTTCAAGTATTATAAAGAATTTCGATAGAGCGGTATTCAATTCTCAACACTTAATAGTGCTGGCATCAATGATCCCGAAGTACCAGAAAATATAACAACAAGATAAAATATAACAAGACTTAATTCCATGAAATACTTCTATTACCTTTTTTATTTCATTTCATACTTTAAAATTCTTTAAACATACAATGTATACCATATTTGAAAACATTTTTTTTTGGATAAATGTCACAATTTAAGAAAAAGAAGAAAAACTAAAGCTATTAAACGCGTAGGTCTTTACTAAACTCTTATACGCTGTAAACATAAAATTTATTTATATTGGTGTTCTCACTATATGGTAATATAACACAGTGACATTAAAAACTGAGGTTGTTTTTCGTATTCAAGTTTATCTTTACGAGTATCTCTTATATGTATGTATGACAAAAAAATGAACTTACGGTCTTTTTAAGTCCAAGGTTGAACGTGGATTGTTCAATGATAATTATGGCTGAAGTAATTTTCAATGGAAGGAAAATGAAAGCGGACCTCGGACATATATTTGTACGAGCGTATATACACTGTATAATAATTAATATCGTTTTAAACATCAAATAAACACGTTTCTCAGTATGTCAAAGTAAGAAAAGGGCTGTACTCAATTGAAAAATGCCTTACGTCAAGTTAAATTCTTAAAATATACAAAAATGGTATCGGGCCCACCGCACTGCGTTGCAATCGAATCCACCGCCGTCTGCGACGAAAACATTTTTGTAATTTATTTTATAAACAGCCAATAATAATTTCCCAATTTTCCAAATTATGGTTAATTTGTGAAAGTATCATTGATTTGATGTGATGCCGATGTATTATGGGGTCGTTTTGCACACATTTGTATGTGTTTTAACCAAAATCAGGCAAAAGTGGCGTCCCCTCATCAAACTGTACAGAAGTGTTTGCATAAACGGCAATGAATTGCACCGTGTCCGTGTAATAGGTTGAAAGAGTACATATGTGGGCTCCAGTCTCACTGAGTGTTTCCAGTAAAACATTTAAACATAAAACAAAATTCAGTCATATACTTACCGAAAACAACAAACGGCCATATTTTATCCACCGCTTCTGCGACGAATACTCCACCGTCGCTGCGGTAGACCCACCGCTTCTGCGAAAGCTATGGCCAGTGTGATTATATAAGGTGCGATTTTCAATTTCAATTTCTGCGTAATTTAACTAAATTTCTTTATTATTTTGGCATATATTTTCTTTAAAGTACCCATGCAAGTAAGTTGATCTATGTTAAAAAAATCGAATTTTATGTTTTTTCACGACCTTCGGACCTCAGAAGGTTTTCCTTAATATTCTTGCATAAATTCTGACAATGATTAACGGTTTTTTGTTTTAAATAGCAATACATGTCCACTTACAGTACATATTTCATTACCTTTATGGTTATGATTTAATCAACAGAAAAAATGTGCAGGGTGAAAGGAATATAATTATCATAATTGTACCTCCAATCAGAATACCAGAAACATATCTTGTAAAAACAAAAAAAGGTAATTTCCCCAACAAATACAATTGTTACGTTGGCCACACAATAGAAAAAAAACTCTTGAGTAAGTTGAAAAATAAAATGTTATAAATTACCTTCATTAGTGTTTGCAATATTTTTCTCCATTGCTAACTTATTTCCACACGAATGTCGGTGCGCGTTTGCAACTGCTCCCGTCTTATTTCAATTCGAGTAAAGGTATAAGTAGGTTATCGCTATTTTTTATTCGGCACTCAATGCAACAAGTAGAGTTTTTGATGCTAAAGCATCAAGTCGCCTGATAAAAATATGTTTTTTTATCATAAATATCAGAAAATATCAGTTTAATGGTTCGAGTATAAAGAAAAAAGGAACAATAAGTTGAGTAATGTTTATTCATAAACATGTTTTCATATACTTGCCACATTTCTTGCTATAAACTTTGTATAAGAGTTTTATGCAATAAATTTAGGTTATGTTATAATAAAACATCATATTTGAAGCAAACTTGCTTAGCAATTTGGTCAAGAAACTGGTATCATTATTAAATAAGCAAGTATTGTTTGGCAATATTTACCCGAGACTCATTAATTTTCGGAGGGTGTTTCGTTAGTTTTCATAACTTACATATATTATGATTAATGTTAACGATTTTATTGTAAGTATAATTACATGTATACATCAATTAATACTGCTCGATGGCCCAGTCGTAAGTATGAAGAAGTTGTAACCTAGTAGACGCAAGTTCGAATCTTTCGTATTTTTCAATGTAAGCGAAAGGAAGATCGCTGATATTGTATATAGAAATTTTAGGCAAACCCTTGGTTAATTGATTTTTATTATATCTTTTCACTATCTGAAACAGTTGATAAATCGTGTGTTTCATTTCTAGCACTTATTTATTTCATAATTTTGATAAATGGTCAAGTTTTGCAAAATACAAAAAAATATCATAATAGAAAACATAAAAAATCACTTTATCGAACCATCAGACTTCAATTTGAAACTACGAGTAAATGAAAATCTAACACTTTGTCAACGAGTCTTGTAAAGCAAATGATATGCTTGTAATTCTACTTGTAATTCTACTTTATACATATACCGTTGTACCATACATTGAAATCCGTATGTTTTACTTTAGAATCCGATAATTACCGACAAATAATTACTGATCATCGAATATTTGCAAAGTGACTATGAAAATATATAATTATGCTTAATTATTGCATAAACAATGCAATTCTACTGTAAAAGTGGTGTCTGCATAAAAAAATTATTCTTATGCGCTATCGAAAAAATATATAATTTAGTTGAAATCAATATTTCCGTCGTTACATATGGTATAGTTAACGTTTAATTGCCTTTCAGTGCGATAAACTATCATCACAAAGATAGTTTATTAGTTTTCTCTGTGTATCCAATACGATTCCGGCCCCCTACCGTCATACCGAGATTTTGTAATTATTCATACAAAATTACTTTGATGCCAACCATTCACAAGATACCTGTATATCTGTCTTATCAGCCATTTGTTACTATTAATAGATTTTATACCAATAACATACAACGTGTAGTAACGTGATTCTTACAAAGAAACAGGGAGAAATAGTTTATAACTAAATAAAATAATAAAATGGAATAGGCCTCATAAGGTATAAACAACCAGATAATTTAAAGTGTCATTTCAAATATCATGCATAATTTATTTACCATAAAAAGCAATGCTTGACACTTTGAAATAAGTAAAAGTATCCCTAAATTTAATGACTTATCCATAGGGATACATCATTAATTCATTTTATAAAAATTGTAATGTTGCTTTTTCAGATGTCATTATTTGAATATTTCATTTCATTGAGCAGCGTTATTGAATGTTTGAATTTTTGAGATTACTGAAAACAATTGTAGTCTTTAATTGTTCAGTAATTCATATGTTTTTATTTACAGATTTTAAGACAATCTCCTACCATAGGTATAATATTAAACTGTTACAAATATAGTCGCCGGTTTCTACCGAGGAGCAGCGATTGGATGCCTCAATTACATAATTATCACGCAACAGATATATTTGCATGGAGCCTCATCCTTTTACGTTTTTACTGGCATAAGTCTTAGATGTATACTAACATGGCTGGGTACCAGCTGAGAATTACAATTGCATCATTTTAGGTTTACACACAATGCCATCATTTCATTTACTTCGCGTAACTTATTACCGAACTTCTGCAAAAACAACAATAAAATATGCAAAAAAAAAGGTTTTTGTACTCATAACCTTAGGAACGTTTGCTTAAAGAAACATAACAAAAAAATCCAAACATCTCTTGGTTTAAACATATTAATTCAACAACATATTTAACAAGTGAACAATATTTACACTTTTGGGATTGGGCAGAACGCTATAAAGATTATGAGTGTCCTCTCCCAATCATCACTTGAAAACTCAAGATTAAAAAAAAACAGTTCTTCGCATATTGAAATGACTATGACTTATCAATCATATTATAGTGCTGCAAATCAGCCCATTTTACTAGCCTATTTAGAGGGGTAAGTGGTCTATGTCAGCCAACAGCAAGTTTCATATACCAAAATGTTCGTCTGGATCTGTAGTTTCTTGAATAGATATTCATTTGGCCCAACCCCGATGCGAAGCTAAGATATCCAAGATGGCGTCAAAGATGGCCGCCAAATCCCTAAATATTCTAGTATATTTACGTTGGCTTATTTCCTTTTCCAGTTTTGTAAATCAATTGAAATTTTGCATAAAATTTCTCATTTTCAACTTACTCATGCTATAAATTTTGACTTTATTGATTTTTTTTAGTTTTCATCGCCTAATTTTAACGAATGAAGAAAAAATATGTTGCAAACCGGGTGTCTTTTTCTGTATATGTGTAACTTATTAGTTTTATTCCTGTTTAAACTGAATAACATTCATGATTTCGTTTAATACAGCTTTAAAACTATATCTACACATATTTAGAATAAGTGAGAATAAGCGAACTATGCCATAAATGTGTTTTATTGATATAAATTCATATACAAAGTGGGTGGGGTATTTACGAACGGGGAGTCAACTTTAAATTAAATATATTTTTGTTTAATTTTATAATCGTAAATTTTTTAAAAAAAAAAATTTTTTATTTAAGGGGTTGGTGATGAACATTTCCCCTTATAGAAAAGCCCTGCAGTGTGTCTAAATTTGAAATATCCTTTTAGTTTTGGGCCACAATAAAACTAATTACTGACCTGCAATTTCCGGTTTTTGCGTTACCTTTGCTACCCTTTTGTTAAGTTTTTGTTTAAATTTTGTTTCTCCTTAGCCTAAACTTCATTGTTAGTCTTCAAATTGTTTTTGATTATACTTGTAGGTCATGTTCAAACCCATAAGCAAGCATTTTTAGGAAAAAATTAATATCTATTTTTTAACCTACAAAATTTCTGGACAGATTTACCCCAAAACCTTGGGGTGATGCCTTGAAACTAAACAATCTTTGAGATTATTGTAGGTTACTTCCCTCTAACATGTTTTTATTTCAAAGAGTTATACTACTTTATGAATAAGAGAATTTCTTTATTATGCAGGCTGTTGATTTTAAATAGCACGTCTGACATGCAGCTCTTGTTTTAAGGCATTGGCTTAACATATGACAATCTACAAATTAACCATATTTGGAGTTTTGTCTTTATTGATGACGGATATAATATATACATTAAAATGTAAAATGTAATTTGCTAGAACATTTAAAATGGGTAGGTTTTTCAGTAAGAGAATTTTCTGCTAGACTGGATCTGAATTATGAATAAAATATATATATATTGAGTGAATTGAAAATATATGTTATGAGGGCAGTTTTATTTTAGTTCAACTATTCGACGATTAAGGACAATTATCCTAGTCGCCCAAGTGTCGGCGTTTAAGTTTGCGTACCATATTCAAAGTCCATTGACATATGGCTTTGAAACTTGCACACTTGTTTACCATCATGCCCTCCACTTTAACACTGGAGGGGGTCTATCAAGCATTTTGACAGAATTATGCCCCTTTTTTCAACTTTGAATTTCCGTTACCACCTCAGATAATTTCAAAATTCCATCGATATATCGCTTTGAGACCTTGCACACTTGTTCACCATCATAATCTCAACCTGTGTACAGAGGAGGTAACTGTATCAAGCTTTTTTACAATATTATGTCTCATTCGTTTACTTTCAAGCACTGAACGAATAGTCGAGCACGCTGTCCTACTGACAGCTCCTGTGTATGATTTTGAGCATTTTGTTTCAAGTTTGTTGTTAACTTCATGCGAGGAATTAAGAAGAGCTTTCAATTGGACGTAAAAACCTAATCTTTTCCCTGGCGGGTACTTGATAGTAATACTATGTGCTAGGGTGGCGTAGAGTAACATGCACTGTCCAGTACCGTCCATGAACAGGCTCAATCAAACCGAGTCTGCAACAGCAGGTTAACAGTGTTTTATTTATAGGTCCTTCGGGATGGCGTTGTTTGTGTCGGTAGTTTTCAATCCGGATCACGGCAGTAACCATATTGAATCTACCAGAACACAGTTCAGCCACCGAATCGTTCCTGGACAGGCTGTCAAGCAGTTTACCAGTACTAGTTGCCCTCACATTCGCATGGAACTAAAACTTCTGTACATAGCTGAGCAGTGGTACAGTGCGAATAACCGTAGAAACTATTTCATGATCAATCACAACGAAAGTGACCTGCCCCGTCCGAGAATCAAACACGGGTTGCCCGATTTACAATCCAAAGCTCTACCTATAGAGTTAACCGGACGACTTGGTCCTTTGGGATCATTGATTGCAAAACTTTTATACTTGAGGATCGGATACTACTTAGTCGGTACAAAGAGACGTGAGATATGGTCTCTCATGAACAGACCACATCAAACTGAGTTTGAATTATCAACTTTGCCCTGTTTAATTGCTTTCGAAGGATCTTCTCTTTTCCTGATTTTTACAGTCATTATCCCAATGACATGTTAGTTTACTTTATATTAACTTTTATATTTGTTACTAGAGGGATTTTATGTTAAATCTCTCTACTATTTCACAACCGAAGCTATACGTTGCATTAAATAGCATTTACCGCTACCTAGATGATATCCTTAACATGAATAATCAAATTTGATCAAGTGAAATCTTAAATCTATCCAAGTGAACGTAAA